GGGATACAGTTCCTGAAGGGGCTGACTCACTGGGATACAGTTCCTGACGGCGCTGACTCTGACTGGGATACAGTTCCTGAAGGTGCTGTCTCTCACTGGGATACAGTTCCTGAAGGGGCTGACTCTCGCTGGGATACAGTTCCTGAAGGGGCTGACCCTCACTGGGATACAATTAATACATTTACAATATTCAAAGAAAAGTTACAGAAGGTTCCCAAACACTCATTTCTTCTAAAGCTAAGGTTCTAATCTGCAACCAAAGTAGATGTTGATAATTCAGTAAGTACACTTTGTATTTCCTGATCAACTGAATTTACAATTACCATGGAATGCGCACTTTTCCATCTCAGCAGCAGATGAATGCTGTTGTGACTTGCTTTGCTTAATGAGTGTCTAATCATCAAAGCCTTCTTTAACCATTCATGAACAAAGACTTCACTGGGTTTATAATGGATTGTCAGTGTCTTGACTAAAACAACAAACTGGATGCTGGAGATCTGAGTCAAAAGCATAAATTCTTGGAGAAACTCAGCAGGTCTGGCACCATCTGTGGGAGAAAGCAGCAAAATTAAGAGTCACTGGACTCAAAACTTTATACCTAGTTTCTACCCACAGATGTTGCTAGACCTGCTGAGTTTCTCCAGCAGTTTCTGTCAGTCTCTTGATCTTAGTTTATCACCAACTAAAGGCCTTGATTTGTACAGTTCTGATGCAAGGTTCTGAGGAGATCTGTGATTCCAGGTGCAGTCTGAACAGGACATACAACAGCTGGAGGAACCGAGTCTCCCTGCAGACAAGCTACAGGGTGAGACAAGAGACAGAGAATCTGAAATCAAAGACCTGAAAGAATCCATCTTCGAACTGCAGGACCATGTGGAGCAGCTTCAAGCAGTCCAGCTGCATAACAACAAGACCATCCTGGACCTTGAGGGTAAGTCAGTATTTCCATCACAGATAGTCACAACTGGACTCATAGCGAGGGTGAGAGGTAGGTTCAGCATTCGTCCCACCCGACACCCAAACCCTCGTCCTGACATTTCAATATTCATCAGCCAGAGAACACTGAACTGAGTCAGCCTTAAAGATAATGTGGCCAGGAGAGCAGGTCAGAGGCTACGAATTCTTCAATGATTAATTCACCTCCTGTTTTCCTGATACCTGTCTATCATCTACAGGGCACAAGTCAGGAGTGTGATGGAAAACTCCCCACTTGCCTGGATGGGGGCAGCTTCAACGACACTCAAGAAGCTTGACACCATCAAAGACAAAGCAGCTTCCGTTGGATTAGCACCACATCCACAAACACCCATTCCCTCCACCACCGACACTCATTATAGCAGTGTGTGCTATCTACAAGATGCAGTGCAGAAATTCACCAAAGTTCCTTAGATAGCACCTTCCAAACACAACCATTTCTAATTAGAAGGACAAGGGGAGCAGATACATGGGAGGATCAGCCCTTGCAATTTCCCCTTCAAGCCACTCACCATCCTGACCTGGATATATTGCCATTCCTTCAGCGTCACAGGGTCAAAATCCTGGAATTCCCTCCCTAAGGGCATTGTGGGTCAACCTATAGCATACAGACTGTGGTGGTACAAGAAGGCAGCTCACCCCCACCTTCCCAAGATAGACATTAAATGCTGGGCCAGCCAGTGGAACCCATTGCCTGTGAATTAATACAAAATAAATTTAGTCTTTGTTAACTTAATTGGTTTTCTTATAATACTGTCTTTCTAAGTAACACTATATTTTCACCTTTTCTCTGCCCAGTTCTGTGCTTCTCTAATCATTTCTCAAATCTCATTGCATTGTTAGTTGCCTTAAATCACTGCTCTTTTCTACAACTCACTCCAATGCATATTCTCACCATGAGGTTTGCTCACTGAATTCTCAAACCTCAGCATTGTGTCTGTTATTTGAGCCTATAGCTTTATCCTAATATTCCATTACTTTAATTGTTTCACTATGTTGTCCTGACATGAAATGTGACAAACCTACAGTCACTCGCAGGCCCTTTCCTGTCTCCCTATGTGGATTTGATTACTCTTATTCCGTACTAGTAGTGCCAATACAGGCAATGTAGATTCTATTATCCAATTTGCAACACTTAATTTATTGTTTAGATTTCATTTATCTTTTAGGAATTTAATAAATGCCGAGGAATTTTGTATCTCACTACAGTACATAAATGTAAAGAATTTGCATTTGTTTCTGTACCCAAGTCAGCAGTTTATAATAGGAAATGTGTTCAGACAGCCCCAGATCTGAGCCTAGCTGTACCAACATGTATTAATTAATTGATTAATGCATTGATTAATTCCTTTTCTTTCCAGGTAAAGTGATGACCTTAGAACAGCAGAAACGCGAATTGGAGAAGCAACTTAAGATGTCTAACAAAAAAATGAAGGTCGGTAAAACTATCCTGAGTGAACCTAAGACCCCAGTTGCACCACTCACTCCAATCTGCTTTTAACAGGATCTTTAGATCCATCCACAATAATACAACAGCTGAAAGGTATCCTGCAGTGGTCCAGACTGGATATTTGGACAGACCTGCTCAAACTCATATTGGCTCATGGATAGAGACCTGGATTTCCATGTATTAGGGACAACTCCAGAGCCATTTAAGAATGTGGTGAGTCCTGATCCCAGGACTCCTAAACCATTCCCTGCTGTAGCTATTTTCACCGTTGTTTCCAGTCTCTGTTCCAAAATCTTTCATTTTTGAATAAAAGCCAAAAGAACTGCAGATGCAGTAAATCAGGAACAAAAACACAAGTTTCTGGAAAAGCTCAGTAGGTCTGGGAGTATCTGTGAAGAAAAATCAGAATTAACGTTTCAGGTTTGGTAACCCTTCCTCAGAACTCCCAAGGTGAGCTTCCACCTCATTCATGTCATCATTCGAACTGCCTAACTCTACCTCTGTAATGTCATTTGACTTTCCTATATGTCTCAGCTCATCTGGTCCTGAAACCTTCATCCATCCTTTTGTTACATCTAGACTCGACCATTTCACTCACACCTGGCTGATCTCCCAAATTCTGCCCTCAATCTTCCAAACTTCTGTTGCCCATGTCTGAACTCACACCTGATCCTGTTCTCCTTTCAGCCCTGTGCTGTCTGACCTGTACAGGTCAAGCCACAACATGATTTTAAAATTCTCTTCCTTGTTTTCAAATCCCTCCATGGCCTTATCCACCTGTCTCTGTAATCTCCTCCAGCCTCACAACCCTCCATGATTTCAGTACTCCAAATTCTGGCCTATCGTACGTTCCTGATTTTAATCACTCTCCCAGTGGTAGTTGTGCTGTCAGCTGCTTGGGGCCCTAAGCTCTGGAATTGCCTTCTTAAACCTCTGTGCCTCTCTATCTCACTTTCTCCTGTTTTAGAATGCTCCTATGAAGCTCCTTGGGCTGTTTCATTGTGATCAGCCGTGATCATGCAGAATGGCGGAGCAGGCTCAAAGTGTTGAATGGCCTACTCCTGCTCCTATGTTTCTGTGTAAAGGCGCTACAGAATTGTAAATTCTTGAAAGACCATAAGAAATAGAAACAGGGTAGGCCATTTCGCCCCTCAAGCCTGCTCTGCCATTCAACGGAATTAGGGCTGATTCACATTTCTACATCCATTTTCCTGCCTTTTTGCATAACCCTTGATTCCCTGACTGATCAAGGACCCATCTATTTCAGCGTCAAACATACACAACATTGTGCCCCCACAAGTCTCTGAGACAAGGAGTTCCAAAGACTCACAACACACTGAGAGAAGAAATTCCGCCTCACCTCAGTCTTAAATTGGCACCCCTCTTCTCTGAGACTATGCCCTCTGGTCCTAGACTCTCCCATGTGGGGAAACAGCCTGTCAGCATTTACCCTGTCAAGCCCCTTAAGAATCCTATAAATTTCAGTGAGGTCGCTTCTCATTCTCCTAAACTGCAGTGAGTAGAATCCCAACCTGTTTAGCCTTTGTTCATAAGACAATCTCTCCATACCAAGACATACCAACCTTCTCTGAACTGCCTGCAATGAAATAATAACTTAAATAAAGGACCAAAACTGCCCACAGTACTCTAGATGTGGTCTCACCGGTACCTGGTACAGTTGCAGTTAAGTATTCCCCACTCTTAAAGTCCAACCCCCTTGCCAGCATTCCATTAGCCTTCCTGATGACCTGTTGCACTTCTGTGCTCACTTTCTATGTTTCTTTGTTTTGTGCACAAATATCTCCTAGTCCCTTTGTGTTGGAGCTTTCTTCAGCTTTTCCCCATTTAAATAATATTCTGTTCTTTTGTTTTCCTTCCAAGATGAACAACTTCATTTTTTTAGACATTATGCTCCATTTGCAAACTTTTTGCCCACTTTCTTAACGTATCAATGTCCCTCTGTAGACCATTTGCATTCCTCTCACAACTTGCCTTTCCCCCTGTTTTTGAGCTGTGCACAGATTTGTTTGGATACATTTGCTTTCTTCCTCCAAGTCATTAATATATTTATATTGTAAAGTGCTGCAGAGCGAGTAGTATTCTGTGTGGAATCCCACTGGTCACAGGTCACCAACCTGAGAAAGAACCTCTTATCCCCACCTGCTGGTTCCTGCCCATGAGCCAATTTTCTATCCAAGCCATTATACTGCCTCCAACAACGTGGGTACTTAAATTCTTATTGTTGTCAATTAGATTGTATAAATGTTTCATTGAGTAAGGTAAGATATACGGATCATCATCAACAACAACTTAGAAACCGCCATCACATCATGAAACCACCCGAGCAGCTTCAGGGGTGCATTTTAAAACAAAGTACTATACTGGTCCACATTAGGCAATGTTAGTTCAGGTGACCAAAATTGTGGTTAAAGTGGTATGTTTCAAGGAGTATCTTAGGGAGGAATGTGAGTTGGAGATGGGGAGAGCATAAGGAGGAGAATTCCAGAGGTCGAGGCCTTGGTAACTGAGGACCTGGCCAGGATTAAAACTGGGATGTGTGCAAGAGATGAGGATTAGAAGAATGGAGAGTTGTGAGGCTGGAGGATATTATAGAGAGAGAGTGGGTGAGGCCATGGTGGGCTTTGAAAATCAGGAGGAGATTTTAAAATCATGCTGTTGCTTGATCAGGGGCCAGTGTGAGTCAGAGTGCTGAGAGGAGACTGGGACTTGGTGTGAGCTAAGATAGCAGAGGTTTTAGATGACCTCAAGTTAATGGACTTGTGCTGGTCATGTGTTAGTTCATCATCATCCTGAATGCCTTGTTGCAGTAGCTGTTTAGTGGTTATGGGAGAAAACCAGAGCTTTCAACATCCAGAACATGATTACAACTTCCACAATGGCAGCTGGGGAATTTATATTTAATTAAATAAAAGAAATCTAGAATTACAAAGTTCTCTCAGTCATGGTGATCGTGAAACAAATGGTTATTTTGTAAAAACCCATCTGTTTCACTCATATCCTTTAGGGAAGGAAATCTACCATCTAACCTCCACGTGACTCCAGAACCACAGAGATGTGGCTGACTCTAATCTCCCTCTGAAATAACCTCACATTCCACTCAGTGTAACCAGGAAGGTGCCTCACCAGCACACCTCAAGCGACAACTATAAATGCAAACAATGATTGGCTTTCCCAGTTATTCTCACTTCCGGTACACTTCCAATAAAGGTTAATGGAGCTGCCACCTTGTGATTTAATTTATCGTATAAGAATATTAGATTCAGCTCCTGAGGGGTTAACACTAGGAAAGACTCCAGACTATCTGATGAATCTGTTCTCCTTTCTGGGCAGGAGGAGGCTGAGGAATGGCGTCACTTTCAGGCAGACCTGCAGACGGCTGTGGTGGTGGCTAACGAAATCAAGTGTGAGGCACAGCAGGAGATCCATGTCCTCAAGAGGAAGCTGCAGGAAGCAGAGCAGGGAATGGAGTTACTGCAACAGGAGCTGGAGGACCTGAGGGCCAGCAGGTTGGTCATGTGGAGGCATCAGCGAGCTGTCGTTCTCTGTCAATAACCAGCTGATGCTTGTGTCTAACTGCACTGTCCTGCAGCAAGCTAACCCAGAAGCTGATTCACCCCCTCACAGAAACAACTGGGGTTGTCCAGAAGAGAGAAGTTTGATTTCTTTAAGTGTTCACAATAGTTTGGAATATTCGTTGAAGGGAGTCAAATGGAGGGTCATCACCTGCAGAACCCTTCAGAGACAGAGTGCTCACTGCACTAGGTCAGGCCGGCAAATGGGAGCTGTCTTGTGAAGAGACTGAAATGGTCTCTAAAGGACTGGGTGGAGAGAGATTACTGCAGCTCCCAACATGAGATAGTCACAGACTGCACAGTTCAAGCAAACAGCAATAGTACATGGGGCACAGGACACACACCCACACTCTCTGTCTGTCAGTCCCTCTGTTTCTGTCTCTCTTGATCTGTATTTTGCTCTCTCAGTCTCTCTCTCTCTCTTTGCTCTGTATCATTCTGTCTCTTACTCTCTTTCTGTCTGTCTATGTTCCTCTCTCTCACTGTCACTGTAACTTTGTATCCTGCCTCCCTCTCTGTTTCTGTTTCACTTCTACCTCTTGACATTGAGTTTATTTTGGTAATTATAGTCCAGTCTGTTTGAATATGAGATAACTCTATAGAAGTTTGGGATGCAAATGGGGAATGAAATTGTAGTGAAGCTTCCATCTGATCCATTTACACACTTCAATAGCTGTGTTCAAACTCCGCATTTTCCCTCGCTCACTCTCTCCCTCACTTCCACCTCACTCTCTCCCTCACCCACCTCCCGCTCAATTTCCCCCTCATACCCCCACATCCCTCCCCATCACTCACCTCTCCCCATCACCTCCCTCACTTTACCTCCCACTCCCCCCTCACACCTCTCCCCCTCACTGTTCTCCTCCCCATCACTCTCCCCTTCCAGCTCACCCTCACTACCCCTTCCCCTTCCCCTTGTATTTACAGTTTATTATGATATTGGCTCTCACAAGCAGCTTTGACCCATGACAGAAAGGGGTAGCATGATGGCTCAGTGGTTAGCATTGCTGCCTCATGGTTCCAGGGACGTGGGTTTGATTCCACTCTCAGGTGACTGTCTGTGTGGAGTTTCCACATTCTCCCTGTGTCTGTGTGGGTTTCCTGTGGGTGCTCTGGTTTCCCCCCACAGTTCAAAGATGTGCAGGTTAGGTGGATTGGCCACGGGAAATGTAAGGTCCTAGGGATAGGGTAGGGTCTGGGTCTGGGTCTGGATGGGATACCCTTCGCAGGGTCAGTGTGGACTTGATGGGCTGAATGGCCTGCTTCTACATTGTAGGGATTCTTTAAAAAAATCTTTACTCCTGTCTGGGACACTGAGTAAAAGGTACTTTATTCATCTGAAAATAACTAGTGAGCAAGAGCCACACAGCCATCACCCCACCTGTGACTGATAGACAGCCTTCTCGCCTCAGTATGGAGTTGCACAAGTGTCACATATTTTTTGGCGGGGGAATTGAAGACAGATTGGCTGTAGGTGCTGAGATGTTGCAGATTTGGCACCCCATGGCCATTAGCACAAAGTCCTGAGGGCCATGTCTGACATTGCAGTGAGTTCGGGGTGACGAGAACCATTCATTTGTTCCCACCAGAAAGATTCATTGAACAAGAATTATTCCTGATCATATTCCCAATGACGTTATTCACTTTGATTCTTGCTCTGAATGGACATCCCAGAACAAGTTAAACAGTTTGTACTGGGCTAGGGTCTCCTCAATGGTCTCTGCTGGGGCCGCAGACTCTCTCTAGCAGCACCTCCTCTCTGCGCTTTGCCACCTCTTGTTCAGTCTCTGCACCAGCTGCTCTTTCAATATTGCTTCAGCCTTTCGCCCAAATCAAACTTTCTCTGAGATAGTTTCACTCATTCCTCTGCAGGTCTGATCCTTCCCAGGTGTGAAGCAATTCTGAGCCGGTGACCGAGACACAGGAGCAGCTCCTGGATCAGGGACCGGAGCTCAGGAGAAAGTTCTGAAACTCCGAGTCCAGCTGCCCGGACACTGGCCACAAGTTTCGTTAAACTGTTGGAAGGAGTATCCCAGGAACCAGGGTCCTGTCTGTGTGAACATGGACCTTTCACAGTGGGCTGTTGTGATCTGGAATGCACTGCCAGAAACGGTGGTGCAAACAGATTCAACACTAACTTCCAAATGGGCAACGGATGAACACTCAAAAGAAAAATGTGCAGGGTTCCAGGACATGGTTGAGGGTGTAGAATCAATTAAACAGATTGTTCAAAGAGGGGCTGAATGCGCTGAATACCTCCTCTTGTGTTTTTTGATCTTATAATAAATTAAGAGTGGGCATGATCTTGGCAATTTCACTCCATCCCCCCCAGTCCTTTCAGTGTTTCTCTTGTGACTGATCCCAGGCTCACTGCCATTTCACATCCAGTGCAGTATCGCTGCCACCTGCTGGTGGTTCTGTATCTGGTCGTCAGCTGTCTATTGCTCATTCACTGTAAACCCACAAACTTCTAAATCTTGCCTTTTATTAACAGTGTTAGGGTAGGATGAGGCAGATTGAGTAAAGACTTTTGTGCAGCTTAAACACTGGCACAAATCGATTGGACCAATTGGTCTGTTTCTGTTCTGCAAATTCCATATTCTGATCTTTGGTCTGATGATTCAGTGGTAAATAAATGATCTCAGTGAAGTGTTTCCGACACAGATCAGGAAGGCCATGTTTCGGTTCCCAGCCTGTGGTTAGCTGATCTATCTCCTATGCTTTACAGTCATAATGGAAAGGCAACGAAAGTTGGAAATGCCGCAATCAGGCAGCTGCAGAAATTCAATTTCCAGTATATTTTACTTTTATCTTTTGATTTTATTTAACACTATTTCCAACTTCACCCAATACACGCAATGTCCACATTTCACGAAATACCCATACCTTGAGTGGTGAATGTTTCTCCTCAGTGCGCTGCCGTCCCAGTTTAGACCACAGAGCAGAAATTAATCTGAGATCTTCCTGTGCTCTGTTTTGGGCTCAGTACTACCTTTATTATTGCCATGTACCTAATTTCTCTTTTAGCATATGATCGGTTATTAATCAGGATTTAAGAATGTCGAGTAATTTGAAGGATTCATTTGAAAACCTTAATGAGAGTTTTTCATACTTTAATTCACTATTTACTCAATGGGTTAATATTAAATTTGCGGCCCCACCTTCACGGTACCCACGGTACCGCCACCTAGAGACACGCAGCGGCACTGCAACGTAGCCGCCGTGCTGCCACCTACAGACACGCAGTGACACTGCAGCCTAGCCACGATACCGCCACCTACAGACACGCAGCGGCACTGCAACGTGGCCGCTGTGCTGCCACCTACAGACACGCAGCGGCACTGCAACGTGGCCGCCGTGTTGCCAGCTACAGACCTGCAGCGGCACTGCAACGTGGCCGCCGTGCTGCCACCTACAGACACGCAGCGACACTGCAGCCTGGCCACGATACCGCCCACCTACAAGGACTTGAAGCATTCCCTCCCAATGATCCTATGTGGCTGGAAATGTGAGATGACAGAGATTTGGTCAACACTATTCTGTCGCTGAGAATACCAGAGGGGGAGACTGTTAGACCAGTACAAAGGTGGTCCTTCAGACAAGAATCTCAATGAAACAGATGGTGAAATTGGCCTGTTAGATGACATTATAATGGAGAGACTACAGTCTGAAGTTTGATTTTTTTGGTACATTTAACAGCCTGAAAGTATTAAATAGAATTTGCACCATAGAAACACCATCCATCTAACCAGTCTATGTTAGCATTGATTTCACACAAGCAGCATCCCAGCTTTATTTCTAAATCATTAGATTCTCCTTAATGCTTAACCCATTTTTACATGGCCTTTCCTTCATTCACAAATTGACAACATATAGGCTAAATAAAAAGTTCATTGTGTCCTCTGACCTAACTATTTCAATCCTAAACAGCACTCATTCATTGGATAGTTTATTCCTATTGTGTTCCATCCTATCAGATAATCAGATAATCAGTGATTATCTGATAGGATGGAACACAATAGGAATAAACTATCCAATGAAATCAATCACTGTTTATCTGGTTGTGTTCGACCAAAAGCAGTTCTGAACCCTTGAAGAATGCACCTAGACCCCTGGTGAATTTTGCCAGAGCATGTTCATGGAGGTACACACAGATATTTTTAATTAACCTGTTCAAATATATCTCAGGAGCAGGTGAGACTTAAACCCAGGCCATTCTTGCCTAGAGATAAGGACACTACCACTACATTGCAAGAGCCCTCCAATATACACAAACATCCTGCTCAATTTCATTGGCTGCAACTGCTTTTGACTGAACCACTGCAGTCCACCTGCTGTGGGTTGACCCACAACGCCTTTAGGGAGGGAATTCCAGGATTTTGACCCAGCAACAATAAAGGAACAGCGATATATTTCCAAGTCAGGATGGTCAGTGCCTTGGAGGGGAACTTGCAGATGGTGGTGTTCCCATATATCTGCTGCCCTTGACCTTCTAGCTGGAAGTTGTCGTGGGTTTGGAAGGTGCTGTCTGAGGATCTTTGGTGAATTTCTGCAGTGCATCTTGTTGATAGCAAACACTGCTGCTACTGAGCGTTGGTGGTGGAGGGAGTGGATGCTTGTGGATACAGTTCCAATCGTGTGGGCTGCTTTGTCCTGGATGGTGTCAACCTTCTTGAGTGTTGTTGGAGCTGCACTCATCCAGGCAAGTGGGTAGTATTCCATCACACTCCTGACTTGTGCCTTGGAGATGGTGGACAGGCTTTGAGGAATCAGGAGGTGAGTTACTTGCCACAGTATTCCCCCTAGCCTCTGTTCTGCTCTTATAGCCACTGTGTTTATGTGGTGAGTCCAGTTGAGTTTCTGGTCAATGAAAATACCCAGGATGTTGATATTGGGGGCTTCAGTGATGGTAACACCACTGAATGCTAAGGAGCGGTGGTTAGATTGTCTCTTATTGGAGAATATAAGAACTAGGAGCAGGAGTAGGCCATCGGGCCCCTCGAGCCTGCCCCGCCATTTAATAAGATCATGGCTGATCTTTTTGAGACTCAGCTCCACTTACCCACCCACTCACCATAACCATTAATTCCTTTACTGTTCAAAAATTTATCTAGCCTTGCCTTAAAAACATTCAGTGAGGTAGCTTCAACCGCTTCACTGGGCAGGGAATTCCACAGATTCACAACCCTTTGGGTGAAGAAGTTCCTCCTGACCTCAGTCCTACATCTGCTTCTCTTTACTTTGAGGCTATGCCCCCTAGTCCTAGTTTCACCTGCTAGTGGAAACAACCTCCCTGCCTCCACCTTATCTATTCCCTTCATAATCTTATATGTTTCTATAAGATCTCCCCTCATTCTTCTGAATTCCAATGAGTATAATCCCAGTCTACTCAGTCTCTCCTCATAATCCAACCCTCTCAACTCTGGAATCAACCAAGTGAATCTCCTCTGCATCCCCTCCAGTGCTAGAATATCTTTTCTCAAGTAAGGAGACCAAAACTGCACACAGTACTCCAGGTGTGGCCTCACCAGGACCCTATACAGCTGAAGCATAGCCTCCCTGTTTTTAAACTCCATCCCTCTAGCAATGACAGACAAAATTCCATTTGCCTTTTTAATTACCTGCTGCACCTGCAATCCTACTTTTAGCGATTCGTGCACAAGGACACCCAAGTCCCTCTGCACAGCAGCATGCTGCAATTTTTTACCATTTAAAACATAGTCCATTTTGCTGTTATTCCTACCAAAATGGATGACCTCACACTTATCAACATTGTACTCCATCTGCCAGACCTTTGCCCACTCACTTAGACTATCTATATCCCTCTGCAGACTTTCAGTGTCTTCTGCACACTTTGCTCTACCACTCACCTTAGTGTCATCTGCAAATTTTGACACACCACACTTAGTCCCCAACTCCAAATCATCTATGTAAATTGTAAACAATTGCGGTCCCAACACTGATCCCTGAGGCACACTACTAGCCACTGACCGCCAACCAGAAAAACACCTACTTACCTCTACTCTTTGCTTTCTACTGGTCAACCAATCCTCTATCCATGCCAATACATTACCTGTAATACCGTGCAACTTTATCTTATGTAGCAGCCTTTGGTGTGGCACCTTGTCAAATGCCTTCTGGAAATCCAGATACACCACATGCACAGGTTCCCCATTGTCCACCATGCAAGTAATGTCCTCAAAGAATTCCACCAAATTAGTTAAACATGACCTACGCTTCATGTTCCCAATGGGACAATTTATATCCAGATGTCTTGTTTTCTCTTCCTTAATGATAGATTCAAGCATTTTCCCCACTACTGAAGTTCAGCTAACTGGCCTATAGTTACCTGCTTTTTGTCTACTTCCTTTTTTAAACAGTGGCGTCACACTGGCTGTTTTCCAATCTGCGGGAACCACCCCAGAGTCCAGTGAATTTTGGTAAATAATTACTAGTGCATTTGCTATTTCCCCATCACCACTTTTAGTACCCTGGGATGCATTTCATCAGGGCCAGGAGACTTGTCTACCTTTAGCCCCATTAGCTTGCCCAGCACTGCCTCCTTAGTGATAATGATAGTTTCTAGGTCCTCACCTGCTATAACCTTCTTGCCATTAGTTTTCGGCACGTTATTTGTGTCTTCCACTGTGAAGACCGACACAAAATAACTGTTTAATGTCTCGGCTAGTTCCTCATTCCCAGTTATTAAATTGGCCTTCTCATCCTCTAAAGGACCAATGTTTACCTTCGCCACTCTTTTACCATTTACATATTTATAGAAACTTTTGCTGCCTGTTTTTATATTCTGAGCTAGTTTACTCTCATAATCTATCTTACTTTTCTTTATAACTTTTTTTGTGGTTTTCTGTTGGCCTTTAATGATTTCCCAGTTTACTAGTGTCCCACCAATCTTTGCTTTTTTGTATGTGTTTTTTTTCAATCTGATACTTTCCTTTATCTCCTTAGACATCCATGGCTGGCTGTCTCTTTTCCTACAGTTCTTCCTTGTCACTGGAATATACTTCTGCTGAGCACTGTGAAAAATCGTTTTGAAAGTCCTCCACTGTTCCTCAATTGACCCACCATAAAGTTTTTGCTCCCATTCTACCTTAGCTAACTCCTCCCTCATTCCTTCGTAGTCTCCTGGTCATAGCCTGGCATTTGTGTGGTGCAAATGTTACTTGCCACTTGTCAGCCCAAGCCTGGATATCATCCAGATCCTGTTGCATGTGAACATGGACTGCTTCAGTATCTGAGGAGTCACGAATGATGCTGAACATTGTGCAATCATCGGCGAACATCA